GTAGACCCTACGCTGCAGTGGGCGTAGACCCTACGCTGCAGTGGGCGTAGACCCTACGCTGCAGTGGGCGTAGACCCTACGCTGCAGTGGGGCCCTCAGAACTTCTGCTGATAACTTTCATGTAATTTTGTTTTCCTCCAATCTCACCCCCAACAAAGAGGAAAAGGAAATTTGTTAGTGTGCTGCATCATGAATTTGTACATTTTTCACTGTTACAGAAAAAAATATTGCTCACTTCTTCTCTGCATTGAAACCCTTGTTTTGGTTTGGCAGAAAGAGATTCATAAAACCTGAAATGTTTTAAAATGTCCCATCTTGAGAACGAGCTGAGTAAATCAATACATTATTACGGTCCGGTCACTGGACTGTGTCATAACTCCATCCTATGGAGAAGTTGAAGGGGATTTGAAGTGGGAATTTTTCAAAAATCCGTCTAGTTTGATGTGTTCACATTCTTCAGGTTAGAGAGAAGCAGAACTTGAGAATAAATGTTGTGAAGAGCCCAGGGGATCCTCTCTCAAGCTTCAAACCTCAAAAATCCATTGACGATGTAAAGTAAGTTTCCAGGAAAATTACAAGAATTGTGACAGAACTATCATACGATTTTTGCATGAGTTGTTGGAGGAATGAAGTTTTAGTGCAGAATCGAAACAATGTCCAAAACTCTATGGGTAACAGATTTTCTTTCCGGAATTTATTGTTATTTCCTCTGCTGAAAGTAATTGCCCTTGTATCATTGATATCATTGCTCATCTTCATTGTCCATTTAGCTTAGTCATCTGTCATTACCATCACTCCATTGGGTGATATGTCCTCTGTCATTACCATCACTCCATTGGGTGATATGCCCTCTGTCAATACCATTACTCCATTGGGTGATATGCCCTCTGTCATTACCATCACTCCATTGGGTGATATGACCTCCGTGTTACCTCTGCATTTCATTTCTTGGCATGAGTTTTGCTTATACCCTAAAGAAACGTTTACAGACACTATGTGTCATTTGGTTCTACAATGAAGAACTTGCAATCTTCCTTAATGCTGTATGTGATAGTGTTTACTAATCCTATTTGGATTTGTTGCGTGTTTTTCTTCACAGACGTTGGGGATTCAATCATTACCTGCGTGATTTGATCGAGGCACCAGAAGCTGTCATGGTGTACTTATGTAAGATGCATAAGTTGCATAACGTCCCTCTTGGTAGCAGAGTAACACAGGATAGCATTGATAAAGTGAGTCATTTGTTTTGTCATTAGAACCGATTTTATGAGCTACTAAAGTTGTCTTTTGATTGATTTGCAATTCATTCTGATCTATTTTATATATAGTTCTTGAACATTTCACATGAAGCATTGCACATTGTTCTGGAACGCTTTGTATGGAGCATTGCACATTCTGGAAGGTAATATCATTATGCTACCTTCATTAGTGGCCAATTTCTAAGTTCGCTTGTACATGTCCATATTTCTAGTTGTATTCTCACAATTTCTGGCATTGTAGTTTTTCAGATTCGTCTTAGACCTCAAAATACAAAGCAAAAGCATTTACTGAGAACTACTGAAAAGGCTGAGAACTGGTTAGAGGCAGTACACATCATAGCATTGTGGCTGGTAATCTAGTTTGTAAGGTTGGGTTTGTTTCTTTGTTTTTGTTGGGTCTGATGAGCTTTGCCATTTTTAACAGGTTGTGAAGGAGTCTGGGGTGACGAGATTCTACACACCGGACCACAATTACATTGTCAGACGGTCACGATACGGCAACCATCAACAATCCACTGACAGCAACTTTGTTGCTGATGCAAGATTGCTCAACATTTCTGTAGACATGAGTGCCAAGAGAGAGTTGGAACAGAATATACAGGTGGAAAATTAGAGTAGTTGGAAGAATATTTGAAAGATTATTTCTTAGTACATTAAAGTGAATGCAGCAATTTCTCATGAGTAATAATTGTTCCAGAAGTTATGAAAATTCAATGTTAGATCTGTATAGCTATATCAAAGTGTCAGAGAGGAATTAATGTAGTTCTATTCAATTGTAACTTGAAGGAAATTGAGCACCAACTTGGAGTGGGGCAACAGAGATACAAGGAATTACAGCAACGTAGACAGGTCCTGATGACACAAGATAATGAATTGAAGGAACAGAAGAAAGGATTGATACAAAAAAGAGACAGACACAAAACCATCTTGCAGAATATCGCTGCAAAGAGAGAAGCGTAAGAAGAACCTCAACTCTGATTATTACTAACAATCCCAAGCCTCATATGTGCCTATTCATAGATCCATACCTCTCAAGCTAACACACACACTTATACCAATAAACTCTTAACAGTCAACATTGCAAGGAAGTGGACTTTCTTCTAAGCAGTGTTTACAGCAAATATAAAGCTACCTTAAAAGCAGTTACAGCTCAAAAACAGTGAAAGGTTTTTATGTATTTCCACGAATGCTCAAGTACAAAAACACTGAATAGGACTGCTATAGTTGATGTATGTTGTTTTAATTTGTTGGAGTGTTTTAACACAAATATGTGGTATTTATTCTCTCGGTAGGATACGGAAATGTGAAGCATCAGCTATAGATGTGGAGGCAGAAATGGCTAAAGCAAGCAAGAAGATTAAAGCCATTAATGAGAAAAAGCTCAAACTTGTCAAGGAATTCAGCCAACTCATCAAAGTAATAATTTCAAATGGAACACACTCATAAATATTTTGTACTCTTTAACTGTTCTTACTAATTTTCAAGATGTACTTTGTGTCAGGGAGATGTTACTTTGAATTACGGGTTTGGCCCATACCCGTATTTATCAACACTGTATACTCAGTGCTTGAGAGCTTGCCAGAAAATTAACAAGCTTACTCAAAAGGGACTCGAACCCACAACCTCCTGCTTACTAGTGCAGACATCTTAACCAGGTCTTGGACAAGCACTGAGTAAAGAATGTTTATAAGTATATACGTTGGGTATTCTAACTAAGCTAGGGAATTAAAAAGGAACATTATGCAGTTGTCTCCTGTGACTTTAAAAAAAAAACCGTCCAAGGTTTGGATATTGATTCACACATTTACGGACCCATACTTGTAGGGACATATCTCTTACTCGGAGGTCCACACTATGTATGCTTTGTTGAAGGAGTTTGTGCTGACAATGCTGAGCAAAGTGAAGGGGAATGATTCTTATCAAGACTAATGACAGATAAAAATGTACATGTAGGCAACCTGGGGCACATGCAAATGTTAACCATGAGTGCCATTTGATGGTCATACAAGCAGTTATATTTACAACTTATTCATTTTAAAGTGCAGCTGTCGTACAGCTACATGGTACATATGTTCAAATGTGCCTTCCATCATAAGCCTGTGCATGGAGAATAGCATTTACCATAACATGCTTCTGTCTGGTTCTTGATCCTGGTTGGTTAGAGTTAAGGGTGAGGGACCTATTTCCTTTGACCATCAGTTACTGAATTTAGAACCCTCCTCTGGTCACTCATAGTCCCTCAGGGTGCATAGAGGTGAACTTGTGATCTCATGGTCGGCCTATTGCACGGAGTGGATTGATGACAGCGTCATTCCTCAATATATGTCTGTGCTGGTCTTATACAGGATTGTATTGAGAGGACCAAGGAGAAAGTTGAGCTAGGAATGAAATATGCTGTCATATTTAATCAGAAGACTCACATTGAAGCTACACAGAGAGAAGCCAGTGCCAACCTGCAACGCTTAGAGGTATGGAGAGAACTAGCAAACTTCATTCATGTCAGAATACCTAGAAACCAAAGAGTTTGGTACTTCAGAAATTCGTAACGCAATAAATATTTTATTTAGAGAAAACGTTACAATATTTAGTTTTGCTAGGCACGTGGACTTGCATTGAACTTGGTGTCCAAGGAGAGTGTTCTTTAATATCTAGGAATGATAGATTTTTGCGTGTTTACATTTTTTGCCCATTTCTGTAGAATGAGAAGATAGAACTCCTGACTATTTTGAGGAATACAAAGGATGTTGCTAGACAGCTAATCAGACGAGCTCAAGAGTTGACTGGCTCAGAAGAACCATCCACAGAACTCAGGGAGGTAATGAAGCATGTCTCATTGGAGGCAGTCATTTATTATAGATGGCGCAGTGGCGGTACAGGGAGCAGTGTATAGAAAGATCTGTAATGTTGGTTCCAAAACTCACTGCAAAGTGTACCTGCGCAGGTGCTGTATGTGTATTTAAGCAGGAAACAATCAGTTGTGCAACTTGAATCTGTTTTTTCGATTGATTTGGTGCAGTCCAACAACAGTCAACCATTATTGGAAACCTAACAGGGTCTGTCACAGCCTCATGTTGCAATTCTCTCTATAGACAGCTCTGATTGTCTGTCACAACGTCATGTTGCAATTCTCTCTATAGACAGCTCTGATTGTCGCGTCACAACCTCATGTTGCAATTCTCTCTATAGACAGCTCTGATTGTCTGTCACAGCCTCATGTTGCAATTCTCTCTATAGACAGCTCTGATTGTCTGTCACAGCCTCATGTTGCAATTCTCTCTATAGACAGCTCTGATTGTCTGTCACAGCCTCATGTTGCAATTCTCTGGTTTATCTCTACCAACAAGCTTGCTTACATGATTTCTTCTTTTTCTTTTAAGAAGACACCATCTTGAAATTTACATTTTGAATATTGCACTAAAACAGAAACAGGTTTTTATTGGAACCCACTTAAATGTGTGATATTCCCAAAGAAGGCATAAAACTCAGCTAGAACTTTTAGTGAACAAATGTCTTACCACGTACAAACAGGCCTTCAGTACTTGCCCTGATGATCTAGACGAGATTGAGCAGAAAATTCACTACGTCCAAGCACAAGCTGACTGTCTTTTTGAAACAGACCAGAGAGTGGTACAAGAATTTGAGCATCGTAAGGTTGAAATACAAAGCCTGACAGAAAAGGTATGTACTGATACAGTCCTTTGTACAATTGCTGATTTCAATGGATGAATGCATGCGTTACTGAGGGCAGTATATATGTGACCATAGGAAGCATGCTGTCATTTCTATGTAAATGATAGTTTGAAAGTGGGGAGGGATGTAAATGAAGCTTTTATGTACAATTGCTGATTTCAATGGATGAATGCATGCGTCACTGAGGGCAGTATATATGTGAGTATAGGAAGCCTGATGTCATTTCTATGTAAATGATAGTTTGAAGGCGGGGAAGGGATGTAAATGAAGCTTGAATCTGTCGATACTTGAGGATTTATTTCTAAGAATATACCTGTATTTGAAAGAAATTATGCTTTTAAAGTTCAAGCAATATTCTGGCACTTCAGAAAGTAGCACATGGGAGACAAGAAAGAGGAAATCATAATGGAAGGTAGTTCTCTCAGGCAAATCCTGAGGAGGATTAGTTATTTTATGGTACACGCAGCCAGCTTTGGTATAATAAGTTTCAGTATTTAGCCAGCTTCAGTAGTGCATTTTGCCTGTATTTATGGGAAAGAAGACATGAAGCCTAAGATGTCGGCAGAAAATGCCCTAACCATTACAGCTGGTTTGCCAGTAGAGGGCCGAAATGCACTCGTAGCCTATGCATTAGTTTTGTAAGGCTGGTTCATATGTTGTGTGGAAAGTGAAGGTGATGAGCGTGATTTTGTGACATTAGATCAAATGTTTTCCTCAAGCAAATTTTGCTGCAAACGTTTTGTGTCAACAAAATCCTTTTTGCTTTCCAATTCACCAGATGTACTTACCTTTAAAGTCAAAAATTTTCTCACTTTGATTTGGTTTTTGTGGTCATTGCTCACAGGTTGAAAGAAGCCAACAGCAAATGGATAGAAAGCTATCAGAAATCGATGACATGAAACAACACTGGAAGGAGGACTTAAATGGGCTGATTGCTGACATCAACCAACAATTCTCCAACTTCTTTGAAGCTATGGGTTGTGCTGGAGAAGTCAAACTACAGTATGATAGTGAAGTATGTCTTCAGAAATCTTTGCTTGCTCCATCAAGAGTGCATTTCTGTGTTTTTAGGCAACGTGCATACCTTCATCCTTTGTAAGCGATCCCATGTTAGATTGTATCTGCAGTCTAAAACCACATTTTTCGAAGTCCTCAGAGTAGGTTGTAAAAGTAGTGACATTTTTATAAGGTGTTGTAGAGTACAGTTACACAAATTTCTGAATAGAATCAGAACATTCAAATGTCATTTTAAACAGAAAAATATAAGTAAACATTTTATCTTGTTTTGCCTAAATTGTCATTTGAAGTTCAGAATATGGAATGCAAGCGTACGTTTTTATTAAAATGTTAAGTGCTTTTTTGGCTTTTTACAAGCAAAGTTTCAACAATCCTTGTTTTCAGCTAGCTGTGTTCAACCATGTAAGAAGTGCTAGAATCCTTTGGCATTAACTTTGCAGAATTCTTCAATTTAACAAATAGTTCTGGTACTTGTCTTTGCAGGAGGATTATGACAAGTATGGTATCAGTATTCAGGTTAAGTTTCGTAAATCAGAGCAGATGAGAGAACTGACATCTCATTATCAGAGTGGAGGTGAACGCAGTGTTTCTACAATCTTGTATCTGATGGCTTTACAGGAACTCAACAAGTGTCCATTTAGAGTTGTGGATGAGATCAATCAGGTATGTTTACCTTGATTCTGATTTCAAACAGTTGGTTTATGATTTGCCCTTTCTGGTTTGCTCTAGAACTTTTCAATATCTTCACCACTACTGACCAGCCTGCTGTGGAGGTCTACACAATTATTGCTATGCAAGTAAATTATCTTTAGATAAGAGTGTTCCTTTTAGGAGTTGTGCTGTGAAGACAAAGTTAGTAATTGATCATGTAGAATTTCCAGGGGAACTTTGGAATGTAATTTTTGTGTGGGGCTGTATCAGATTATGTAATTGTCTTCTTGAAATGTTGGTAATAAGCGTGCATTAGCCTATGGATAATGAACTGTTCTTTTCCTAGGGCATGGATCCCAACAATGAGCGTCGAGTCTTTGAGCTTGTTGTTAAGACAGCTTGCCGGGAAAACACATCTCAGTATTTTCTCATTACACCTAAGGTAAATACTCTTCCAGAAGTCAAGATCACCTAGCAGGCCAAAATATTTAAAATTTTCTTCATATTAGGAGAATTTGAAGGAAATCCCTTTCAAATGAGCTACTGTTTTCTGGTTTGTTTTCACACAGCAAAAAGGGTCTGAAAATTGTACAAGTGATCTTCCTTATAATATTTGTCATGCTTAATCATTTCGTTTGGATTGTTTATTTTGGGTCATGGGTTTTTAAGTTTTTTCTTTAAGCTAAACCAAATATAAACCATACAACTCCTGTAAAATCCCAGCACTAAATGGCAGAATGTAGTATGTGTACTGAGTTCATGATATGATCATGTGAGGAGAGTTTCACTTAAGCTTTGTTAACAGTTCCAATATCCGTGATTCTTGGTTTTCTAGTTGCTGTTGAATCTGAGTTATGGTCCCAAGATGACGGTGATCTGTGTGTACAATGGACACTGGATTATGCCTTATAGTCATTGGAATCTGGAAGCGTTCTGTCGAAGACGACGAAGGTTACTGGTCCAGTAAATAGACTTATCAGGTTGAGCTTTGAAGAACAGCATTTCATTGTGGGACATTGCACTCTATAATTAGGATCACATTTTACTGTATTTGGTCACAGTACAGGAATGGATGGTATTTCCATATTAGATGTGACCGTATGCTTGCTTACCAAAGGAAAGCTTGATCCCACACACTAATAGGTAATTCCAGAAATTAGGGGTCCAAAAGGGTAACAATTTTGTTTCCTTGTTACATCTGACCTTGTTATGTGACAGGGAAACATCACCGGAATTGATTTTAAACTATTACTATTTGTTTGGTATGTAATTTGCATTAATTCATGACTCTTGAAAATTAGAAAATGTGTTCTGAACTTGCAAACTCATAGTTAGATGTGACAGGGACACAAATAAAATGGACCCCTAATGTCTGGAATTACCCGTATAAGTAATAGGTAAGGTTATAAGTACGAGCGTTGACATCAACCTGAAGCTATTCAAGCGAAGTGGGAAGTGCCTTATACCTCTCGTTTCTCCAGGTGCCTTGGACTTCAACTTGTGACCTGACTTTAGTAAACCACTACATGCTACTTTTTTTTACTGAAACTCTGCAGTGCAGAACTGTTAAGAATGTAGGATTCATTGCATATTGTGACATGTTTAGATTGCATGCATAAGACTGGAGTGTTTTCAAGATGTGTGTCAGGCTTGACAACCCTCAGTAAATTTACCTTTTAAATTAGTGTTCAGAAAATGAAAGTTTTCCTTATTTGGAATAGTGTAGCTTAGAAGTACAAATGTATTTTTATATGTTATTCATATTTGTAGTTTATATACCCTTTCTAAAAAATTTTTACATAATAACTTGAATCTAAGTGCTCCCAACTCTGTTTACCAACCGTTAACCGGGTGTTTCTTTTTGTAGTATGTTCACGCACATGTATTCCAAGATTCCATGCATCTTATCACAATAGGATTCACCTTACAGCATGGACAGGTATGAGTAATAGATGGCGAAACAAACAAGTCCATTACTTTGCCTCTGAAAATCTTTTAATGTGAGTAAATTTTAAGTTTTGTCACAGCACAGACATACATGTATTACTTTTTTTACTTTCTTACAATTGTATTTCATTATAAGCTGAAGCCTCTCATCCTTACAGATCTGTCATCAAAATTGTAATGCAGCAAAAAATTCTTTCCGAAAAGGCTGCTCAGGCAGTGGTAGGTTAAGGTTTTGGAGTACATCTTCATTTCACTTTTGAGTAAGCCCAGTCTACAGGACTGATTAAATTAACAACCCACGTGGCATACCAATTGATACTCTTACATGACTGTATCAGATGCAATGAAAGGAAGGATTCATTTCACATTCTTTCTCAAAACATCAATATAAAGCAGCAACAAAAAACAAAACTCTCATTAGGTTTATAAGGTTTGACTAGGTTTTGTAAAATTCACTTTCCAATGCAAATTGATACGATCTTTAACTTTCCAAATCTCGCATTTCCATTTATGATTAACTGGTGTGATACACCAAAAATCGAGGTATTTAGGAGATTAAATACAACCAAAATAAACAATTCGTCCAATCCAGTCATCAATCCAGTCATTGATAATTGCAGTCACATCTGTTCTGGTCATTTCCTCTTTATTACTCTGTTGACTTAGGAATAAAAATTGCTCTATTTTGTGACACAGTCTTATTGAATATATTGTGGCCATTAATTCATTTCGATTTGTTGCACATTTTTAGCATTTTTCCAGGTACATTGTACATATTACAGGAGATAAATTGGCTGTATAATTTGAAGGCAACATTGAAAACGATGAAAATATCACTGCACCACTTCTGCTCTTCCCGTTATCCCTTCTTGCCCTTGCTTTCTCTGTACACGTTCCTAGAACTGCTTAGAACAAGCTTAGCACACCAGTCAAAGCACCGCCAAAGAAAATTGAAACTGAAATGACGAACTGATAGTTATTCAAAGATATCTAACAACTGAAGTTTTCTAACCAATGATAATACAGATCGAAGTCTTTTCATGAATTGTACATTTCACATTTTGCTGATAATGAACTTGGCGAACGGTTAATTGACGATCGATAAAAGGTCACTTGTGATTTTATTTTCTAAACAAAACTGAGGTTACTCTTTGTAAAACCACACACAGGTCGGTAAGCTATGTACTCCAAGATCCGAAACTGAGAGGATGGCCTGTCAAGTTGGACTCACAAAGGGTTGATTATTTGGTTCTTTATTAGACTCTTTTTACATTGGCCACTCTACCAGAAAACTACACATAGACCTGTTTTTGCACTTTGGTCAGGAAATACAGTGTAGTGTAGGATGTGAATTCTTTTTGGTCGAATTCCTTGGTGGGACTGACTGCCTTCTACTGGCAAGGCATGGTCGTGATTTTCTGCTTGTCAACATCTAGCACATATCCCACATCATACCTTGTACTTTGAAGGATTTCATGCGCCAGCAAACTCTCCTTGTGTGTTACAGTAGGACATTCTTTCAGACCTTTGAATTTAAAAAGAGTTTTTGAAATGTGAAGTGATCTCCTGATATTAATAGTATTGTTTTACAGTACATGTACATATAGCTATTTAACTTCCATCTTCCTCACCTTTGATGATACATTGACGTACTGCCTCTGCTTCGTACTGAAACCCAGCACTGTTCGGGTAGACAAACCCCTCCCTATTACTCGGAAGAGGGAATTCCATCACTTCTTGTTTCTCCTCAATATCTAAGACATCATCGCTTTTTTGGACAACTGTCGTAACTTCCATCTTTAAAGGACACCAAAATGGCGACAGAACCTGCAACATGGTAACAATTCTGTTAAATTCAGCCCTATAACTCATGCTAACTTGTTCTGGAGTTTCCCAATCAGATTCGCAATTGTTTGCCTCAGACTTGTGGTAATTTCCCAATAATGCGCATGAGAATTAGTAATACTCAAATCCTTTCTCCTCTAGATGATGTTGGGATCATACATTATACGGCAGAGAAGTTATGTGAACTGTGAAAAGGTGCGCGATGTACGTCTTGCGTCGGCGTGTTCGGATAGATTTTTGAGAAATGGCCGTGTCCTGTTCTTTGACTCCTTCACCCCATGGTAGCTGAACCTTGTCCATCCATGGCAACCCGCAAATGAGGTCGCACTTATCTAAATTTGATTATGCTTCCATTTCTGAAAGTTAGTCGTCATATCTAAACTCTTTACAAGCGTGTTGTAGTCGGCTCTCAAATAAATTCGACTTGAAGGGTAATATTCATGTTATTTGTGCTGTGATCGTCTGACTATCTGTTGATGTTATAGGGATGTTCATCTTACCTTAATGTATCCTTTGGTTCCTCTGATTTCAATCTCATTTGGAAGAAACACAGCAACGCTACATGTTAGCGATGCTATTGCGTTATCAGGAAACAAAATCGTCGTCACGGTAGTCTCATCCACGCCTATAGAAAGAAAGTCAGTTAAAATTCAATCTTTACATTGGTTGCGCAATTTATCAAGAACCCCAAATTTTTTCTATCCATGCACATTCAAATTTGTCTTTGTTTCGGTTTGCAAATTTCAGGTAGTTTCCGTTGAAACCATATTTTCAGTGTGGACACCTATCAATTAGTTTTTGGGTGGAGGAGGTTTTCGCGTAGGCCCCTATAAATTCTATTTTCATGGCCTATCCCATGGATGGATTTTAACTATTCTGTCATACCGCAACGCCGGTTAACTGTCGTGAGGAGAACATTTGCAAGACATCAAGCGTGGTCGATAATATTGTAGATTGCTGGACGCATTTTAAGAAGAGCGTCGTAATTCTGCGCAGTCTACATACTCGGCACACATAAGGGTGAGCCGATATATCTAAGCTGTATTTTACCTGTCGGCGCCAAGAATCCCTTGGTTGACCAAGATGTAGGTGCCCTATCAAAGACCATCAGAGTTGTCTGAATAAGATATATACCCATATCCAGCATCGCTCCTCCTCCAAATTCTGTAAGGAATTAACCAATGAGGTCTTCACAGTGTTAAAAACCCTGCTCGTTACGGCTTGACTTCAAGTTGACCTGTTATCGCAACATGTCAATTCTTAGAGATACGAGTTAGTGTCGAGTGGCAAAAGTTTTACCTTTGAAAATCTTATCTCTTATGCATGATAAGTAACCCAAAAGACCCATTCACTGATTTGATTTCGCCAATTTGTCCAGCAGCAACCACTTCTCGTAATTTCACACAAGCTGGGAGAAATCTTGACCAAAGTCCCTGCGAGATGATTGAAATCAGCAAAGGTTTCACTCTCAATTCATACCTTTATGTTCGATTCTTTCGTCTTTAAGTTTGGGAATTCCAAACGATCCAAGGACACACTTGACTTCACCAATATGTCCCGCTGCAAGCAGCTCGCGGAGTTTGACATTCAGTGGAAAAAATCTATTCCACCAGCCCTACACGATGAAGAACATGCAAGGAATTTTAAAGGTTGATCTTTCTCATTTATTTGGGCTTCTTTTCTGAAATCAATGGAGGCAAAAGGCAGGTTTATTTTTGCTTCCGTGAGCTAAATTACAAATGGGTTGGGATTTTGAAACCTTGGTCAACTGATCAATCATATCAGTCGATTTCAGTTCATCTGAAGTTTTTCAGCATTGTACATGTTGTCTGTATTGATAGATGTACCCACAGTCTTGCATTATACTCGATACCTGTGAATCATTTGTCGATTAAGGTTTCATGCGTCTAAGTCTGGACGATATACCACTTGGCTATTCAGTCCTACAACAGCCCAAAACAAATGCATAAAATTCACTCCAGAGTTTGTTTCTCTTTTAAATAATTGCTTTTTCTTTTACCTCCATAAAGAAGAGATTTTTCTCCTTAGCAAAGTCTATTATCTCCTGGACTTCTCGTTTGTTCAGCGCCAAAGGTTTCTCGCAAAGAACATTCTTACCATGGCCAAGAAAAAGCTTGCAAAGTGGAAGATGTGTGTGGATCCAGCTACCAATGTAGACAGTGTCTGAAAGAAGAGGGTCACGCCCGTAATGCTTTCATATAATTAATGATAGATACACCGTTTTGTGGCCCCATTGCTAACAATACATGTGTTGGGAATGCCCACAATGCCAGCATTATTTGTTGCTAATCTCCCCCCTTCTTGATTTAAAAGAATTAATTCACTGACAAATACATTACATGTATTTGTTTTATTGGAGAATTCATGTCTTGTGCACTCTATTAAAATACAAAGTCCAGAGAACATGCAGTGCCTTGATGGAGTCTTACTTTTGACGACCCCACAAAAAATAAGGGCTGTGTTCGTTTATTGTGCCTTGGCATAAAATTGACCATTGATTTTTACGTACCGACATTGGCATCTTTAGCCAGGGCTTCATAGCCTCCATAAGCCGTCGGTATCTTGTGCTTGTCTGCAAACCTTTTAGCATCGCCTTCAGATCTTGCTGCCACTGCCACTACCTCGTGATTCTCAGTCGGCAAAAGACTCAGTGCCAACACGAAATCATTGCTGATTTTACCTGTCGTACAAATACCCCACCGAATCTTCATGATTGGTGGAAAATACGCGGCACTGCCTCTGCAAGTATTGGCCAGAAATGCTGTTCAAGTTGTCGCGATACGAAAGAGTTCATACATGCGTGTAGTGTATTACCATGGGGGTAGTTGCTCGTAATTTGACCTGGCCTTTGGAGTTGTACGAACATATAGCATGAGTGCATGCACCACGTACAGGGCAGAGAGAGAACCTTGACTGTGCCGCGCGTGGCATGCATTGCGTGATAGTAACGACCTTTGATCGTCTGGGTTCAGGGAGTCAAGATGAACTGCTTGTTTCCCTATATAATGATTTTTCACCGTGATTCCGTCCGCTGAAAAAAATCCCAAGTTACATGTATTTCTACCTGTGGAGCGCTCTCTTACGTTCTACTTGTGATGTTGTGTCTTTTGAATTGCTATGAAGGAGCCGCGTACATCTACTTAGTACTACAGCTGAACATCATTAGGGAGCTCAAATCACATTAACAAAGCGCCAACCAATTTGGGGAATATGTGATCACTGTAAGATTTCTTCATTTCGTTGTCCAGTTTGTGTTTGGGGTTAGTTCGAGCTTTGTATTATTTTACACTACAGAGGGAGACTCCAGCCACTGGAAGTCCGATTTCTCTCACTTGACCTCATTAGTAATGTACAATGTGGAAGTAACCACAGTTCATTTTCTTTGAGTTTCCCATTAAAGATATATATGCTCTGTACTCTGGATATGCGTCTTTTAATTTCACCCTATTTTACGTTACTGTCATGCTTGCGCCAAAGATGCTATAAAATAGCATCTGATACGAGGATGAGACAATTCAGTGTCAACATGCAGTGACATGTTCAATTGGGCCTATCATCATGCATGACACACTTTGGACTAACTTACTACGTAATGGCCCGTAATGAGGCGTCGCACGCGTGCGTGGGTCACACAGTTCATTCAGCGGCCTTACTTTCGCTGGTGGTTTATTCCATTATAAACAATGGGTAAATAAACAGTAACACAAGGATTGACAGACTACTTTATGAATTTTTTTCAGTGTTATTTCGTTCAACCAACTATTGTACAAAACTGTCCAACTGCTTTGTCCCATTTAATGAATTAAGAAAAAAGGTTTTAAAACATAGTGACGAGTGCATAAGATGTGCATATAATAGCCGATTAATTGAATATGATATTCGATTGGTTAGATGTGGAATTCCGGCACTTACAATGTACTGTCCACCACAATGGTGCATTCCGAAAGTGGAGCCGATAAAATTGACAAAATTGTTAATCTATACTTTAAAATTTGGCCTAAAACTATGTTGGTATAAAAGTATATTATACATCAGATTTTATTTCAAAATATATACAAACGAATCAACTTTGTAAGGAGAAGACCGACTTGGATCCGTGATGGCGTATGCATTTGGTTTGTACGTGTAACATCCGTGACATCTCCTCAACACTTGAGTGCCTGGGTCAATTTCAGAGGCTTAATTCTGTTGGTCAAGGCTTTATACTATTCAATTTTCCAATAAAAGTAAGTAACCAATCATGTCAAATGTTATATCAATGGAAAGCTTGTATCCTTATACCCCTACCAAACTTAAACTGTTTAGGTCAAGGGAAAACGAATGACGGCTTGAAGACAGGCCGGAGGGGCAACGCAAAATTGGCCTTTTTCGCTGTCTCTCCAGACAAAAATGTCAAGGTTTTTTTTATAAAACCGAATTTCAGACAGAAACTTTGAAAAGAAAGTAGCTGCATACTCTTTTCCCCTTTTCAATGTTCATGTATTAATTATAACATGAATCTACAAGTAACTCCTCCCAACTCTGTTCATATCAGGGGCGGAACAAGAGATTTAGTGGCTTCAGTTTTATCCCAAGAATCATAAGAGCCTTTAAACGTGCACTTAACACCGGCTAATGGAGAATGGATGCGACTTATGCCATGCACGATCATGCGGCTCGGGCATTATCACCATTCTCCATTTTCAAGATGTATTTCTCTTTATTCTCCATTTTGTTCCAATTCATAAATACTGTCTTAGTTAAACAGTCCAAAGAAGTCAATGAACAATAAACTTCCAAGGATTTTGTTCAAGAATTTTGATTTTCCGAACACCTGGCCCATTTTATGGTAAATTCCTTGTGCAAGTCCATTGAGAATCTCATTATCCGGTTCGTAAGAGGGACGTCACTTCAGTTTAAACCACGCCCACTGCACGTGCACTGCATTGATAGCCGATTACAAAGTTAACGCGCAACTTCAGCTTTCGTCCAATGGGAGTCAGCAAATCTTGGCGCATCCACCTTTTGTGACGAAGTCACTTACAAACGGAACGGCAAGTTCTGCATGCGCGCCGCAGCGCTCTTGGACTCTTGACCAATAGGAATTGATTAAACTGTCATCCAGGTGGCCGAGCATTTTTACGGGCGTTATTCAATCGCAGCAAGCGTTATCATTATGTTAAGACACTGTCACGTTGCGCTTTTCCATTATTATACCCGATACCTACCTGTGAATTACTTGTCTGTAGGACTATGCGTGTAATTCTGGACGGTATACCGCTTGGCTCTCCAGTTCTACAACAGCCCAAAACAAATGCATGAAATTCACCAGGGGTTTGCTACTTTTAAAAAGTTGAAGAAGAGATTTTCCTCCTCACCAAAGTCTATGATCTTCTGGACTTCCAGTTTGTTCAGCGCCAAAGGTTTCTCACAGAGCTTTTTTATCATGGCCAAGAAAAAGCTTGCAAAGTGGAAGATGTGTGTGGGTCCAGCTACCAATGTAGACAGTGTCTGAAAGAGGAGGGTCACGGTATGTAACGCTTTCATATTTTTTAAAGATACAACGTCTTGTGGCCTTGCAACAACCATTGGAAATATTAATGGTAGCACTAAGGCTAATCTTATGAAGTAACTTAAAGGTTACCTACCGACATTGGCATCTTTAGCCAGGGCTTCATAGCCTCCATAAGCCGTCGCGGTGTCTTGTGCTTGTCTGCAAACCTCGATCGCCTTCAGATCTTGCTGCCACTGTCACTACCTCGTGATTCTCAGTCGGCAAAAGACTCAGTGCCAACACGAAATCATTGCTGATTTTACCTGTCGTACAAATACCCCACCGAATCTTCATGATTCCTGGAAGATACTACGCACCACTGCTTCTGCAAGAATCTGGCCAGAATCTTGAAGTCCCCCAACGGACCACACACTGAGCAACTCATGCATCATGCAGTTGTATAAGACGCGTGAAGTTACCTTTGGATTGTCAGGGTAAGTGGCAAGTTTATAGCGATTCCTGCAGGCTGCAAGCGGTGTAAAACTTGTTATTCACATTTGTAGCTGGCTCGGCCTACTGAGTCAAAACTCCGGCGTTAATAAAACCTGCAGTAATAAAATTAATAAAACCTGCAGTTTATGGTTTATGATACATGTACAGTAAATGTACATGCAGCGATAGAGAATGAACTATGTTGAGCCTTGACCGTGTCACTCGGTGAGTGGAACATAAAATGAGTGGATATTCAGTAACGAACTTTGCCTGACCGAAGGGGTTCAGTGAGTCAAGAGAAAAGGATTCGCTGGGGAGAACAAACGAACAATTTACATTAGTGCAGCTGCGCAGTCATCGTGAGGGGCTGATATTATCAACGAAGTGTGCACATTCGATCAATATTTCATTGTGCATACCCCGGCTATAATTATTTCTTCATTTCGTTTCCAGTTTGGGTTTTGGGTTCCAGCAGTACACAGAGTGTAGTATTAGGCCTACACCATAACAACGGAGGCTGGGAGACCCAGGTGGAAGTCATTGCTCCCACTCCTTCCCTCATTATTTTAAGATATACACAATTTAAGTGAAATTAGCCTCAGTTTATTTTGTTTTCGGTTCCCATTGAAAGAAAAATAAGTGCACTGAACTCCAGATGCCCGTTATATAGATAGGGCCCAATAGTACCTAGTTGGGCTAGCCCAACTGCAGGTGTGATATATTGCATTCATATTGTGCCCATGATTTTGTGGCGTATCAACAACTCGTGCTTGCAGAAACGATATAGAATGGCATATAGTATTTTGAATGAATTATCAGCGTCAGGTGTGAGCTGCATAAACTTGGAGAAGGTTGACATGATTTGCACAATTTGAAACAAATTTCAGATCAAGGAGCAGTCCAACGCAGCGTGCCATTGTTGCGTCTAAAAACCCTGGATTATCAGTTCGATTATTGGTTTGACCCAAGCGATAAATCATGGATTGATGGTTGTCCTATTTAATATGTTTATTTAGGTCACAGTGGTGTTTCCTAACTACTGCATAGGCCAGTACACGATGTTGTCGGGGAAAGGGCACTTTACTGTTCAGGAACCCAGCATAATGAATTCCCTTTTTTAAGCTCAAGTTCCAAAGTACTATCGAGGGATTGTATTATCTGTGGTTCAATTTTGCTGTTTCTTTTCTTTCATCAATTTTTCTGTGGGACACCTGCTTTACTTGGTCTACTAATAAACGGCCAGTGGGTCGGATACACTGCTTCGTGCATAATATTCAACGCAATGCAGCTAATGACCAGCGCCCTCCTGTGACAAAGTTAGTCTGTACGTTCATGGCGGCATGTTTTGAAATTGATGCTCAAGTTTGCCTCTGACGACAATAATCCTACACAGGAGCCCAGTTTAGTGATAATCTGCATTGCAGGTAGGCATGCATAATACATGTGGTAAACATAATTTTGGACCCTCAACTCTCGTCATGGTTGTTTATGACCCGGGTCCATTACATACATGTGGACATGTACTGTACATGCACGACATGTACATCACATGTCATGTCATACATTTCTGACATACATGACATAGGCCTACATGTAGTTGATCAGCACTTGCCTGACCTTTGAAATTTGAAGGGGGGGGGAATATGTATAGGGTCGATGTTCATGATAATCAAAGGTGTACATCTGTAAAATGTGTATCAAATTCATGCAAAATGTTACATCAGAATGGCGTGGGCTCATTTACCGTTTAGGCTTATGGCTTTTTCAAAGTCAAAGTGGCTATTGACTTATTGTTACGTCAGCCACAATGCATCTCCCATTTTCTATCGTTACAGCACTGAACTGTGCAAGTGTGATGACGTACGTGATCATCACGATGGTTTATGTAATTTTAAAACTACATGAATCGCTGAACGCTTGTAGCCAAGTAGTTAAGGTGGAAGGTTTCGATCTACTGGTGTGCGAGTTCGAAACTGTGCTTGGACTATTTTTTTTTTTTTGGCTAAATTTCATATTTTATACCATAATTGTTTTTTTTGTTGGTTTGTAATTGTAAAGGCCTAAGCAGGAATCTTTTCTTTTCTCATCGTAGGCTTTGGAGGATTTTTTTAAAAGGAAAATATAAAGTCCAAAATCTGCACTAAGTTGGTACGCTTGCACAGTTGCAGCGCCGTAATGATAGAAAATGGGAGATGCGTTACGGCTGCCGTAACAATAGCCACAGCGTTTCATTTTTTTCCCTTTTAAGTGATTTGGAAACATTTTAGTTTCTGGACAGTACAAAAATTCTTCACATTCTGCTTAGGCTTAAATTGTTTTGCTCATCCCAAAAAGTGTGTGTGTGAGAGTGTGCAGCCGTGGCATACATGTACATAGTGTGGACCTCTGCACAAAAGAAGTCCACGTAATGTAGGGTGCGATGGCGTTGTGTGGACTCGCACACATCCACACAGTGTCTCCCCCTCTCTGAAAAACAGTTTCAGAAGCCTTTTGGGGTCAAGGTTATTTGTGACAAAATGAAGAGGAACAGTCCAGGAAATTATCATCAAAAACCCAGCTCGAAGGAGTTATCTTAGTTTGAGAAAAAGGAACATTTTCCCTAAGTTTCTTTAATCACAGGAGAACAAAGGAATGTCCACACTTTGTATGTAAAACAGGTACAGTATGTGTGTGTGTGTGGAGGGGGCTCAGGAGCCCCCTTCAAAAATTGGGGGGATAATATTCCCCTCTTTCCCCAGGATTTACCCTAGGCCTAACTCTCACAACATTACTATCCTCCACCAGTCATACATTAAAAATTAATAGACATTAGTACAAGATCATTCATAGGCATAGAATCACTTGGCAGCCTGTCGTTAAATACACTGTACTATTGAAATTGGAAATGATGACAACTCAGCATTTGTTGGCTTTTGCTTTTGTAAAGCTGTATTTCTTTAAGATGCAATGTACATGCTATCAATGTCTTTGCAGTAAAATCAGATTTGTTGGGCTTCTGGACACTTTCAGTCAGATGTGTGTGCAGTTACAATGGATGCCAGCAACTTGGATGAATTGAAGGAGAAATTTGAAGTCAAGATTGAGGGACTCACAAGATGTATCAACTTATCCTCAGCAGGTAAACAAGTGATATCTAGAAAAACCACTTTCTGTTAGACTTTTTTGTACTTTGTTTTCTATGTTTACAAGTAATGGCAAGATGGACATCGTGAATAGATTCAAATTTTCAGTATTCCATCCAGTAGTAGATAGATGTTTTCTTGTCATTTCTTTCCAACGTATAAAAAGAAGAGAATGAAATTTGCCTTCCCGGATTTGGAACAATTTGACTATTCAGAGACCATTGAATTAAGTAGTGGAAAACAGTTGCTAGTTCAGAGTGAACAAATTTCAGCTCCCTTGGTGATAGACCATCTGGCCCAGCTGATTTGTGCCCATTAATTTGTTTCAGCTGCTTATCTGCATCTTCATAACTTAGCTGAGGCTGTGCATCATCTACAACTTCTGTAGCTTGAGACTGAACATAATCATCAATACTACTGACAGAATTGCTTAGTGTTTCAAATCGAGCAAAAAAGTATCTGCAAAAACCTGTTCATTTCCATGGTAATTGTGAGACTTGGACTGTCTGATTCCTGTTATCTTCTTTAAACCAATCCAAGCATTCTTTGAGTCCCCTGACTAAAACATATCCCCCAATTTGTTCCCATACTGCCGCTTACAGGACTTTCCCAAGCATTTAATTCCCCCCTGAATTTCAGTCGTAGTCAACTTTTGTAATTGTGACAAGACATTGGACAGAATCCAAACTTTTGATTGGATGACTATACGCTTTATAATGGGCATGGAAGCCTCTAGGGAACAACTCTTAAGGATCTATGTGTAGATTCAGACCTGGACAAAATTTCATTTTGACATTATTTTCAGTGTCGACAGAAGCAAAACATGAGATAGCGTGGCTCCCTACTGATTTGTAAACAAAAGTATTATGTATACAGTATATAATCAAACAACAGGACCAGCAATTGGTCAAATTTTACTGTTAGATATTGTGATATGTGTGATTTGTGGCTCTTCATGCGTATTGCTTTACGGATGGTTAATTTGCTGACTGCTAACAACACATGTAAATCTGAGAAAAAGGACATAGCATTCAAAGATTTCCAAGTACTACAGTGATGTTTATGAAGTAAAAAAACATGAATGATTAATTTCAAATCCTTTACATTTCAAACTGAAGCATTGAATCCGAGTATGGCTTCAACATTTGCTTTTCCATAGCATCCTCTTTCATTTCAAGCCCCTTTTCTAGGAATTGGTTATTACATGTAGGGACCTGCATTAATGTTGACATTCATGGAACTTTACATGTACAATCCATTGCATTTGCAGTTTTGACCCCAGATGGACTTGATGAAAACTGCAAGAAACAGCTGGTTGCCATACACACTGAGCTATGTCTCGTTGAGTCACTGATTGGGCAAATGAGAGATCTTGTTGATTTAGAAAAACAACATCTTCAAAGAGCCCAGGTAATAAAAAAATAGACTGTTGGCATGTTTAGATACCATGGATACAATGCAGTCAAAACATCATTAGCATGCTTTTATACCCATTCAGTACATCACTCTGATATTCTCAAGATGTATCAATTTCATTAACTGGGATAATTGATCAAGGACTGTCTTTAATCCACAGGTCCTCAAAAGTAAGATGGAGGATCAGGCAGAACACATTCAGTACATTGAATCTCATATTCCTGACAGATTGCCTGGAAGAGACCTGAAAGCCTTTACAGCTGTGCAATCCAAGAGGTCTGTACACATGTATACATACATGCACATGTACATTTGTGTTCAGTTTACATGTACGATGTACTTCACTTATTTCTGAACCACTTGTAATGCATCATCTTTTCCTCCCCTAATTTTACATGATGAGAGGAAAAGGTACATTTTGAGGTGTTTTTTAAACTTTTTCAAAACCAGAAATACTTTCAGTAGCATCGAAAAGGGGACGAATATGACAAAAACTTTAAATTAAACACCGTTTTGGTGTACATGTATCTTATGGGGTGGAAATGTATGTAAGATGTACTTCAGAATCAGGAACGACCCCTTCAAATTTTTTGAAATTTCCACAGTGGGTTCATTTTGTTGATTTAAGGCATCCCTTATCCCTCCAGTCCCCAGAATAGATTTATGCCACTGAGCTTTACAAAGGCTGCTTATCGGACTGCAGAGGAAAGTAAACAATGTAAGATAAGCTGTCCTTACTCCTACACACAGTTAACTGGGATGACACGGATGTCTTGAATGCTTGCATTACTCAACATTAAATGCTGAGTTATTCAGTTTATAATACTGACCAGAGCAAAATTAGAATTGTTGTTCAAATTTCAAACCTCCAAGTGCTTTGTTTTGTCTTGTAACTGTGCTTATTCACTTATTCATTGCGTAGAATCAAAGGAGTGACGGGTGCTTGAGCCCTCCCAAAAGGGGTCTGTTTTATTTTTTTCTTTTGGAAAAGAAAGATGCAGTATATGCGTACATCTTAAATCACCAGCTGTGATACAGCCATAAACCAAGAAAGATGCAGTATATGCGTACATCTTAAATCACCAGCTGTGATACAGCCATAAACCAAGAAAGATGCAGTATATGCGTACATCTTAAATCACCAGCTGTGATATAGCCATAAACCAAGAAAGATGCAGTATATGCGTACATCTTAAACCACCAGCTGTGATACAGCCATAAACCAAGAAAGATGCAGTAGATGCGTACATCTTAAATCACCAGCTGTGATATAGCCATAAACCAAGAAAGATGCAGTAGATGCGTACATCTTAAACCACCAGCTGTGATACAGCCATAAACCAAGAAAGATGCTGTATATGCGTACATCTTAAACCACCAGCTGTGATATAGCCATAAAGATGCAGTGTATGCGTACATCTTAAACCACCAGCTGTGATATAGCCATAAAGATGCAGTGTATGCGTACATCTTAAATCACCAGCTGTGATATA